CCCCAGCCCTTTCCTTTCTCTGTAGTCCAAGAGAGAACCTTTCACTGTTTTGAGAACAAACGCTTTAGAGCTTGAAAATTGATCTCGAGGGCTTGAAATTAGAGTCCCTGACGCCTTTTATGTTGTGAGAGAGACTCACCTGGGTTTTCTAGCCTCTTCCTGAATTAACTACAGAAGTAATCCCCGGTGGCATTGCAGCTGCTGTCTCTTCAGAGCTGCTTTCTGTCTCCTGGGGCTTGGCCCAGAGAGAGAAAGAAAGAAAAAAAGCATCCCAGCTTGGCACACCTTCCGTTTCTTAATAGGTAGTTTTTGTGCCTGTCATTTTCTAGTCAGGATTTTTTTGTCCTTTTGGCCACTTTGTCTTCCCCATTCCCTGTCCTTGGAAGGCAGAGTTGGTTTAATTCTAACTTGCTTCAGATACTTGGGTTCATAAATTAGCCCCGAAATGTTGCTTTTGTTATTTTATCTCTTGCAGTTCTTCCGGTTCACTTGCAAATGTGTTTTTAATTCACTTTCAAAGAGATCTTGCTCCCCGTTCAGATCTTATATTTCAAAAACAAATTATATCATAGCGTTTTAAAACAGACACATAAAATGATTTGTCCTTAGGAAAACTTTCAAATTTATATGATATACAGTTTGACAGAACCTTGATTTTATTACTTCTTAAATTTGTAAATTTTAAACCTTTACTATAGAAAAGAACAGCTGCTGTTTTACCGTGGATGTAATAAGTATCACGTTTTCTTTTACTCATGCTTAGAATATGACAGGTAAGAAATAAAAGTACTTAAACAAGGAATCCTAGAGCCAGGTTGAATGGAAGACAACAAGTTATATTTTCATGAGCTGGGTACGGTGGCTCATGCCTATAATCCCAGGTGTGGGAGGCTGAGGCAGGAGGATCACTTGAGAGCAGGAGTTCGAGACCAGCCTGGGCAACATAGTAAGACCACTGTCTCTACAAAAACAAACAAAAAACGAATATCTTGAAGCTCTGACTTGGGGGTGGGGGGCAAGGGCAATATACATAACCTAAACATCTGTACCCCCATAATATGCTGAAATAAAAAAAAAGGGAATATCCTCCTTCTTGTATTGCTTATTCATTTTTAAAAGCTGTATTGTGGAGAAAGGAGTATGATCCTTTTAAGTAAGCAGTTTCTGTCTGGTGTAAGTTTGTGACTTTCAGATGCTAAGGGAACCAGCTAGAAATACTTTATCTACAGGACTAAATATTATTTACAAATTTTAGCATATACAGACAAATCTAGTCACAGAATTTTGTCTTAACTCTTGATTTCCATCTCTGCTAGTGAGTCACCAATACCTCTGGCTGTCCCGCTTTCAGCTTCTATGCAATTGTAAACCTCTTTAATTCCACATTGTATGTCTTTTGTAAACTCACAAAGTATATAGCAGTATTGTTCATTTGTACCATCAATATTTGTTTAGATTTAACCATATGTTTATCATCTATTTATTCTCTATTCCCTCTTCTCAGCTCTTCCTTCTGGGACAATAACCCTTCTTGGAGGATAGCCTTGTTTAGAAGCTCCTTTACCAAGGGTGATCTGTTGGTGTAACCACTTTTTGTTTATCTGCAATGTCATTATTTTACTTGTCAGAGAGTTTTCTGGTTATTCAAATCTAAGATCTCAGACATTTTCTCTCAGCACTTCGAGGATTTTGTTGCATTTTCATCTGTCTTCAAGTTCTGTGAGGTAGTTATCTGCTGGGTTAATTGCTATCCCTTTTTCTCTGACTGCTTTTCCAATTTCTATTTGTCTTTGATGTTCTATGGTATCATCCTGTGTGTGAGCATGGGTTTAAAAAAATTCACCTTGCCTGGGATTTCTAGGTCTTTCTGAATTGAATGATTCATGTCTCAGTCATTAATTTTGGAAAATTCTTAGCACTGTGTCTTCATATATTGTCTCTACCCTATTCCTTCTATTTTTTCTAAAACTTTGATCTAGTGTGTGTTGGACTGTCTGATCCTGTCTTCCATGTCTCTTAACTTCTCTTTTTTACATTTCTCATCTCTTTCTCTGTGCCCCGTTCTGAGTAATTTCTTAAGGTCAATCCCCCAGTTCACTAAATCTTGCTTTTGCTGCTTTTTATGTATATTGAGTTTAAAATTTTTAATTTTAGTATTTCTAAATGTTGTTTCTTTTCCAAATATTTCTGGTCAATTTTCATAGTCTCTTGCTTATTACTCATGTTTTCAGTCTCCTCTTTATTATTTTAAATGAATTAAACATACTTTAAAAGAATGTACCCCAAGTTCCAATATCTGAAGTCTTTATAGATATGATTCTATTTGTGTGGGTTTTTTTTCTTTTCTCATGGGATTTCTCTTGATTTTTGTTTATGATACCTAATTTCCCTAGATGCTTTATAATTTCTAATCCTGTGCTCATATTTGTCGCAACTCCAGCTGCAGGAATACCTTGATATCTGGCTCGAGAGTGTGTTCTTTTGGGGATGATTTATGTTAGCTTTTGATGGGCATTGGAGACCTGGTCCACTTTAAATTTTGATTCTCATCATACACTTGTTAGGACCATACAAGTAGTATAGGTTCCAAATTTGGGGAGACTTTATGTACAATAGTTGCACAAAGTCAAAGTTGAGACAGATACTTTTCTTTTTGATGGGGAGAGTGAGTTTAACAGCAGAAATTTATTGTCTCGTAATTCTAGAGGCTAAGTGTCTAAGATCAGGGTGTCAGCAGGGTGGGTTCCTTCTGAGGCTGTGAGAGAGAATGTGTTCCATGCCTCTCTAGCTTCTGACGGTTTGCCAGCAAGCTTTGGTGCTCTTTGACTCGTAGGTGCATCACTCTGATCACTGCCTTCATTTTCACATGGTGTGCTCCTTTGTGCATGTCTATGTCCACCTTTTTCCCTCTTACAAGGACGTCAGGCATATTGGATGAGGGACCCACCCTACTCCAGTCCAGCCTCAACTAATTACATTCACAATGACCCTGTTTCTGAATATGGTCCCCTTGTGAGGTCCTGGGGGTTAGGACTTCAACATAGGAATATTTGGGGGATACAGTTCAACCCATAACAGTGTCTTAGTCTGGGTTTTCCCCAGAAAGCAGAGTGCGAGACGAGGATTCACGTGCACATATTTTATTCCAGGACCCGATGCCAGGGAACGGAAGTGAGAGACTTGGGAGAGTTCAGCAGGGAAGAGGGAAAGTCAGCCCAAGGTGTTCTCAAGCCAGACACTGTTGGGACAGTTACTTTGTCTTGCTGTCATCTGAGACATGGATATTTTCCTTCCCAATTCACTCTTTCCCTGAGGGTACGGTACTTCCTGGGCCTCCATTTGTGGAAGATGGTCTTCAGTTGGGTTGTCTACTTGTCTAGGCTGAACACTTGCCACTGACTCCCCTGTGGCCTAAGCACCAGGTCATCTGGTTCGGTGTCCCCTTGGCCGTGTGGCTACTTCAGTGCCCAGCCACCGCCCCCTTCCCGCCCCCGCTTTATTCCTGTGCTCAGCGTGTTCGCCTTATTGTCTTGCAGGCTCATCCGACACTTAACAGGATGTTTTTAAGCATGTGTTAAGTGTTCTTCAGTGTTCCCAAGTGGAGGGTTTGAAGATCTCTAGTCTGCCATGTTGCCAGAAATAGAATAGAAATGATTCACTTAAAAGAAGAACAGTGTGAATTCAAGACTATCCCTATATTGTTTCACGTACTTGTGTCCTGATAGACTGTTGGGATAAGAGAAAGGAGAGTGTTGCTGTGGCTCTTGATGGTTGCTCAGGCCCAGCCTGGGCTGCAAGGGACAGTCCCGGACCCTGGGCCTTCATCAGTGGCTGGGCTGTCACTTGTCCTGCTTCTCTAGGCTACGTATCTAAATTACAGATGGAGGTAATTATTAAACTTATTAAATAAGGACAGCTGTCACAAAGATAAAGAATACAAAAGTTTGGGCAGATGATAGGATTTTGGCACATGTCAGAACTTGGTATCCTCAGACACCGTTCATTCATCGGACAGATGTTTATTGAACTCTTATGTCATTCGCTGTGCAGGGCACTGCGCAAACAGGTAAACAGCGCCCATCCTCAAGAAGCGCGGAGTCTAGTGAGCAGACAGTTAATTTCAATGGGCATGATAAGGCATGTGACAGGCAGAAGCCCCCGGAGAGCCACTAACCCAACTCTACAGGGCCAGGAAGGAGGTTATATCGATGCTGTGTCTGAAGGACCTGTAGGAATAACCCAGGTAGAGAGCCGGGGAAGGACGTTCCAGGTAGGCGGAGAAGAACGTGCAGTCATTAAGGCCAGCGAGAATTTGGATTTGGAGAACTGCAGGTAGCTCATTTGGCTAGAGCATAGCTGGGAGGATGGAGAGTGGGAGTGATGAAAGCTGGGCCTGCAGGTAGCCTGGGGCCTTTGTGTGGGAGCACAACTGGGAAACCATGGAACTCTCCCACCTGGGATCCCTGGTGCTGTCAGAGCTGTCTTGTTCATTTCTCTTAGGAGCCAGCTCCTATCGTGGAAGGGAAAACACGTGAACTTTGGAGTCCAGGCAGCTTTCTGTTCAGATTCCAGCTCCACGCTGTCTGGGTGGCCTTGTAATCAATTTATTTACCTTCTCTGAACCTCTCCTTCCTTGTGTGATGAGAGAGAATGGACTAGACAGCTTCCCAAGGCCGCCTCCTTTTCCAGTATTCTGTGGTTCTGTGGAGATGAGTCTATGTCGTTAGAGAGTAAGAGAAAAAGTAGGTAAATGTGTACACAAACACACACAGCTTAAGGAAAAGTAGTGCTCAGGTTTACGAATATTTGCAGACATTATCCTGACAGTAATTCTGGCAATTTCTGGCTTCCAACTAGCTGTTTAACTTCTAACTGTGAATCATGGATGTTTACAGTGAACGGGTGTTTGTCGAATGAGTACATTTTTGTGCCTGAAACAAAACGTTAGCAGCGTGACTTCCATGGCGTCACAGCTAACCCAGCTTTGATTTTCTTGATAGATGAGCTCTCTCTGGAACAGCACAACCTTTCTCGCTCCTCCGAGGAGCTCGTGCCGAAGAGAAGCCCCACGCACAGTGCTGCACAAGTGGCCTTAACGGAAACCGCCCCAGGGTCCCAGCGGAGCAGGGACCTCCGTGTCGTCTCCTCTCCATCTGCCACTACTTTTGATATGACCTTTTTTAACCAAGGAAAATGGACCCAAAGTACAGCCGACCACAGCACCTTTGTGGCAAGTTACATGTCGGTAACGAGCAATGAGGTGGCCATCGATGAGGATGAAATGGATAACTTTCTGCCAGACGCTCACTGGACCACCCCACGGCTGGCTTCTCCAGTGCAGTATATCACGGTCAGCTCGCCACGGCTGCCCAAAGACCCGTCGGAACCCATGCTCACTCCGGCACCACCTGTGATCTCTTTACACGATAGAGAGGTGACGTCAGCCTGGCAGACCACAGTGCAGGAACCGGCAGCACATGCCGAGTCCCACAGTCATTTCAGCGCCTTCCGATCAGCTTTTTCCACCTCCGAGGGCATGATTCCAACTCCTAGTAGGAATTTGGTGCTTTATCCTCCTGATATTTACAGTCAGTTATCAAGCAGGACTTTGCCAGAGATTGTGGCTTCCGTGACGAAGGAGGTGGAAACCACCCTCCTCTTTAGCTCTGGGTCTTCAGTGCCTCAGCCGTCGGGCGAGGGCATCACTCACCGGCTGTCCCCCTCTCTGGGGGAGGTCTCACGGCCTCCAGAGGAGGTTTCGGCCGCAAGTCCAGACAGATACCCTGAGGTGACCATTGCGTTGAGTCAAAGTCTAGAAGAAACCGTCTCTCCAAGAGCATCCCCTGCTGTGACTGTTTCCCACGCAGCCCTTGCACTCAGCAGTACACGTTCCGCTTGGGTTTCGACGCCCCTTGCGTTTGTACCCTTTTCTACTCAGTCAGCTGACGTTTCGTACAACCCCTTCCTTCCCAGCGGCTCCAGTGAAACGTCAGAATTGCTCGGCAGTTCGGTGGTTCCCGGTCACGCGGGCGGCACTCACGTCCTGAGCCCAGTGGTGTCTTTATTCAGGCCGTACACGTGGTGCGCGTCCTGCGGGGTGGCGTCGCCTCGGCACGTTCTGGCCACCAGCCTTGTGGAGAAAGACGTGGGCTCCGGGGATGGTGCGGAGACCCTGTCCCTGACCACGCTGGAAGAGAGCAGCGTCTCTCCGCGGAGCAGTGTCGTGGCGGACTTCTCTGAGTTCGAGGAAGAGCCTCAAGAATTCAATACGCTTTTCCCCTCGAGACCTATTGTCTCACTTTCTTCTAGGTCTGTGGACGTCTCAGACGTGAGCGTTGGCATTTCGGCTGAGGTGGATGTGAGCAGCGTTGTGACCACACAAGTGCCCCCATCCCTCAGCCGCCTCCCCGCACCAGCGTCACTTGGTCCTACTGCTACCGCCTCCTCTGTGGCTGAAACCCAAGTGATGCCATCCAGTGTGACCGCTGCGTTCTTCTTGGTCACCACCAGTGTTCTCCTGGACTCATCTTTCCCTGTCACAGCAAACAGAAACACACCACTGGTTGCCATCCGAGAGCCGAGTCTTCTTCCTTCTTATAGTTTGGTTCCTTTGGTAGAGTCTTCGTTTTTCCCTGACCAAGAAGCTGCCAGTTTTTTCGAACACAAACCTGGAAGCATTTTGGATTTCGCATCCAGCTTTTTCTCAACTCCCCCACTGGGATTCAGCAGCTCCGTCCTTTCCCCTTTGGAAGCACGTGCTTCTTCGTCTCTGACGTCAGGTGACTTGTCACCCTCCATGTCTCGGTCTTTTTCTACCTTGATCGAGACATTCACATTGTCCAACTCTGTTGATTTGCAATCACCTCAGCATTCTCTTCCTAATTCCATAAGCCTTGAGTCTTCTCAGCTCTGGCCAAGTTCAGACCTGCCTTTAAATACCGTCACCTTCCTACCCAGTCACTCTGAAACGTCACCACGATCCAGCTTCCCCTCTGATTCTCCCAAGTTCACTGAAGCATCAACAGTTTCACTTACAGATTCTGAAGCTCATTTTACCTCAGCTGTCACTGAAACTACCTCGTATTTTGAGTTTTCACTCATTTCCCGTGAATCTGCAGTCACCACACTGGTGCCCTCCAGCTCTGAGCCCGTCCTTGACATCTTGACTGCTGGGACTCACGTAACGCCACCGTTGACTGCTTTCCACGTGACACCTGTTCTAACTGAGTCTTCTGCGTTCTCAACTCCGACACCTTCCGATGAGGGAGTCAGTGCCACAGGTGGTCACTCATCTATCTCAGCGTCTTTCTCCAAAGCCATTCCCACTGGTACAGCATTGATCACTGACGTGTACCTGTCATCAGCATCCTCGTTTGTCTCTGAGTTGACTCCCTCGCCTCTGCCGACAGAGCTGATCATTGTGGGCCCGTCGTTCACACCCTCAGATGTACTGCTCAACACCTCTGCTGAGCCGGGCACGTCTGACACTAGTGTTACCATTGCTGTTCCCACTGACACCACCCTGAATGGCAACACTGCGAGCGAGAGCCCCCAGGAGAGCAGCGCTGAGCCCCCCCTGCCCTCCCTGCGTCCTGTGACCACCTTCACTCTTGAAGCAACAGTGGACACTCCAACACTGGCCACCGCCAAGCCACCGTACGTGTGTGATATCACAGTTCCCGATGCCTATTTGATCACAACTGGTAAGGCCCTGCTTCTCTCTGGCGGGGGGTGGAGTGGGCAGTGCTGGCCTTTCTAAGGTGCTCGTGGGCAGTGCTCCGGAGACACAGAGCGTCGTGGTGACATGTAGGTGCTGGGCTTAGATGATTCCCGGATAGTGATCCTCCCTCACCTGTCTGCAGTTCTCAGACAGTGATTAGCCTCTCTAAGCCTCTGTTTCCTCAACTGTTAAACAAGGGTGATACTGGCATCTACTAATTGGGTTCTGGTTAAGATGTAAGTGTATTCATATGTATAAAATACTTAGCCCAGTGCTGGCACATAGGAAGCACCCATAGCATATTATGTATTAGTTAGTAGTCGCAATAAGAACAAATGTAAGATTTAAATGAGCCGTAGAAGTTTCTGGTAGGATCTTTGGTCTTGGAGCACGTAACCCACTGGCTGCGTAGATGACATAGAACACTTCCATGTTTAGTTCAAGCAGTGAGCTGGGCAGGTGTGTAAGGGCAGCTCTTGCAGTATCTTACTCATTTGCTATTCTTACTTTTCTTTGAAAGGAGGGTGCACTTTGCTCTTGTAGATTCTTGTAAATGTCACTTGAATCCTGTGGAAAGAAAAACGAAGTGACTAAATACCCCTGAATCCGGTCACAGGCTTTGATCCCCTCCCCACCTGCAGCCTGAGTTGCTGGCCGAGCAGCCAGCGGCTTCTCTTGCAGTTGCGCGGCTGCTGTGGCCTCATCGAGGAGGCGTACATCCAATGGCGTGCCTCTACGGGGCGACTTATTTCAGGGATAATGTCCAGTGGCTGGCCTGTAGGTCAGGGTCTCCACGTTTTTCTTCATACGAAGTGATCTGGGCATGGAGTGTCCTGGGCTGTTACTGTAGCTCGACCACAGCCTAATACTGACGAGCAGCCTGCCCTGGGTGTTGATTGGGGCAGGGGCGGAGGACAGAAGGGAGGAAGGGCGGAAGAAATGGCAGAAGAGGTAGAGGAGGAGTGGAGTGGACCAGGAAGGAGCGGACAGTGTGGAGGGGAGGTGGGAGAACACACTTGGTTTTCCTCCATGCTGAGGGGGGCGGGCCGCGGAGCCCCTGCTCACTGTGGCAGTGCTGTCTTCTCTGAGGGCTGGCAGCAGCTGGAGCCCCTGCTCCCCCCACCCCAAAGGGAACCACTTGTTAATTCATGTGATGAATAGTTATTGAGCACTTAGCATGTGTGAGGTGCTTCTAGGAGCTTTAAGGGATACACAGATGAATAAGATGTAGCCCCATCCTGGGAGGAGCTCAGAGCCTGGGAGGGCAGATGGTGAGCCATGAGCCATTTTTTCCTGGTGGCTGTAATAAAAATGGTTAGAGTTCTCTAGGAGTGCCTGTTTGGGGTGATCGGGGACGGGCTTGGACGAATGTGAAATGGGAGCTCCACATTAAAGGAAGAGTAGAGTGTTGTCATCTGAGGGTGGAGGGAAGTGTCCTGTGGGGGGAGGAGACATTCAGCCTGGCAGGAGGTTAGACTGTGTAAGAGGGGAGCAGGTACTTACGCTGGGAAATGAGATGGGAACAAAATTATGAGCTTTCATCTGCAGGATCAGAGTAGTCCGGGCAAGAGAAAAAGAGTTTCTCATGCACTTGATACTTTTCTTTCTTCTTACAAAATTATTACAAAGTAGCTACAAAGGGTCAGTTATGAGGAGCTTATTAAAACAGTTACTGATAGCTTCTTTATCTCTAGAAGTCTATGATATTTATGACACAGTTGTAATATTGTGTCTTTTGTAATTTTTCTGCAAATAATTATTAATAGAAACCTTTTTAGTGGTATCCCTAAGAATATGAGGTGTTTAACTTTCCCATGTGGTGCATGTTTAATGACATTTGGTGCCCTTTATTAGGTTTCCATATATTTTTAACAGCTTTTTGGAGTAAAATTTGCCCATTGAAAGTGAGTTTTAGTAAGTGTCCGGAGTTGTGTGTAGGTGTCCATACTGTTGCGTTGTATTTTTTTAGTGGAGATAAATGCCATCTTTTGCTCTCAGTGATACCTTTGACCCAGAGGAAGGATGGGTTCATTTCCAGTCTTCATTTAGATTTGACCTTGGTTTCTTTGTGGTAATTATCTATTAGTGAGAGAGTCCAGAGAGGGAGTCGAGGTGATTCCCTGTCCCCTGAAAGGATTCTTTTTTATGGAGCTCTACAGAGAACCACTCTAGATGCTGTTGCTCCATGGCGGACTCTTAGGAAGGTACTTGGCCATGTGTATGTATCCAGGGACAGGTGGCTGCTGCCCTTCCCTCCCGGGACCTTTCTGACTCTGCGCCCCCTCTGGACATCTCTCTCACCTCTCTCCTCTTAGCTCTGGACATTTGGGGAAACATCTGTAAGATGTTCACTTGCAGATAATCCCTTTTCCCAAAGACTCATATCCTCGTCTGCCAATGTTGCAGCTCTGCGTCTTACTCAGATAAGCTACAGAAGGTGGAGGCTGTGCTGGTGGCCCTGGGGGCTGTGCAGAGTAGCACTGGGTCTACCGAGTGATTCCTTCAGCCGTAGGGGACTACCGCAGTATGGACTTGCTGCTCTTCTTGTTAGGGTTTTCCTGTTTCTGACTTCCCGTTCTGCCTCCACTTTCCCCAAGTTTAGCTCTTGTAACCCTCGCTCCCTCCCTCCTCCTCTCCTCTTTCCCCTTTCCCTTCCCTTGTCCTCCTTCCCTTCCTCCTTCTTTCCCCCTCTCTCCTCATTTCCTTCCTTAAATAAGGTGTCTTTCCTGCTTTCCACTCTTCCCCCTTCCCGCCCCACTCATTTTGTCTTTCCCTTTAGAAACCACGGCGTAGTCTGGCCCCCTGGAGCCGCGTGTGCTGTGCTGCATTGGCTGTTGGCGTGACCAGCGAGGTGTGGGGCTGTGGATTTGTTCCAATGGTCTCAGGAACTAAAGAAGCCCCCGCTTTGCCTTTTAAAAAAAATTTAGATCACTGATTCATAGAAAGAACAATCAAATATTACTTAAGCGTTTGGTTTTTTTTTTTTAATCAATGAAGAGTACAGAGTGATCATGTCTCTGGTTTTAAAAATTGAAATCAGGAAATGGGAAACTGAATAATAATAGCAAATGTATTCCAGTTGTGCTTTATGGGAGGTTGATGGAGGAGGAAATTAAAAATAATAGGGGAAAGAACAAGCTTACTAAACTGAGAAATGGATTTACTTACTAGTATAGACTTTTACAAACTTTTTAAATGTGAAAATCGTTAAACAGAACTAGACTTTGGTATGAGAAATATTTTATTTCCTACACAAAAATTAATACATGGGAATTTTGAAAATCTTTTTTCCCTTTTATTAGTGGTAAAAACTCTTCACCTTTTGTTTTGAAAAGTTGGCATAGGAGACCTTATTTTATAGAAAAAGGTCATCTAGTTTTGTTGAGTAACATCTTAAGGTCTCTTAAAATATTACTTCTGGGAGCTTTTAAAGCCTCGTGTTTTGCCATTGGGGCCATAGCCAGGAGACAGCCTGGTAACTGTCCAGGTGAAAACGAGAACTGGAAGCTCTTTGTCCCCTGGCTGGGTCATAGCTGCTGATTCCTGATCTCACCTACCGGAGGCAAAGGGGGCTGCTGTGCACAGCACCAGCACAGTTTACCTGCTACCTTCCAGGTCCTCCCTGCTATTCCTCTGTAGGTAGTCAGCAGCAGTTCCATCCCCAAGCTCGGTTCTGTCCTGGTCTGGGCCTTATTTTTACAAAAAGACTTTTGGAGCTGCTAATACACTTTGGCACAGAGCTGGTATCCGGAAGTGCGACACGTTTTTTACTCATAATGACGCTAAAATGCATTTGGTGGCTGGCTTTAATTTGTAGTGCTGGCCAGAAGAGCGGTGCAGGAGTATATCATCACATCAATCAAAGAAGTGTTGAGGATTCACTTCAACCGTGCGGTGGAGCTCAAGGTGAGTCCCTGCAGCTTGGAAGCGTGACGTCTGATGGGACCAGGGCTGATAGGACCCAGGGGCGGGCTGGAGGCAGGTGATTACGTCCGAGTAATCGCTCTCCTTCCTTTCTTCCCTCCCTTTGTCCTGGTTAGCTCCTACTCATTCTCTGGATCTCCACTCGGATGTTACTGCATCAGGGAAGCCTTTCCTGACCCCACACGAGGTCAGGTTCAGTCCAGGGGGAGATGTGTTGGCAGAGTTGGAACAAAGGGGTTGTTGGGGCAGAGGTGGCAGGGTCTGGGCCATAACGATTTTGCTTCCTTCGATGCCCATTAAAGGACTTGGATTTGAGTTTAAATTAGATTTTTGAGTGAGTACATGTATGTCTTTCTGTACATTTAGTGAGACAGAGGTAGATTCCCAAATCTTTGATACTGGACCCTGTGCTGGTACATCTTCTCCCCA